AGCAGCAAGGCTACTGGCCGCAGCAGCAAGGTGTACAGACACCCCAACCCAGCAGCTTCGCCCCCAAGGCCGGACCCCCCGAGAGGCGGCGAGCAGCAGCAGAAAGGCAAAGGAGCTCTCGGGGTGGAGGGCAGCAGCAGCAGCAGCAGCAGCAGCCACGCAGGGGTTACAGACAGCAGCAGCAGCAGCAGGTGCAGGAGCAGCAGCAGCAGCAGCAGCAGCAGCAGGTACAGCAGCAGCAGCTGTTGCATCAGCAGCAGCAACTGCTGCACCAGCAGCCGTCGATGACTTGGGATGAGCAGCAGCAGCTGCAACAGCAACAGCAACAACAGCAGCTGCAGCAGCAGGCACAGCCGAATTTCGCGCAGCAGCTTGTGCAGCTGCTGCAGCAAGTGCAGCAGCAGCAGCCCTACAGTGGCAACCCACAAGCCGTGCGGCAGCAGCAGCAGTATTCAGCTGCGCAGCAGCAGCCTCAGCAGTACGCTTTGCACCAGCAGCAGCAATACGAGGCGCCGCAGCAGCAACTTCAGCAGCAGCTGCAGCAGCAGTTGCAGCTGCTGCAGCAGCAGGGCCTGCAGCCGCAGCAATACGGTGGGCACCAGCAGTATGGACTGCAGCAGCAGCAGCCTCAGTACAACATGCAGCAGCAACCAGATGCTGCTGCACTGTGGGGTTCGCAGCAGCAGTTTAGCTAGCTCTTCTGTACAGCAGCAGCAGTAGCAGCAGCAGCAGCAATATTGGGGGCCTCTTTTGTGAAGTTTCTGCCTCTTCCGTTTGATTAGGAGCTCTTGAGCAGATATGAGCTGTATTATTTATTATTATTTAGCTGCTGCGCTCAGCTGCTGCTGCTGCTGCTGCAGCTGCCCATGCTTGTTGGCGTTACAGTTTGTGTTCCGTTGTGTCCCGTTAGGCAGCAGCAGCAGCAGCAGCATCGCAGCAGCGGCAGCAGCAGCAAACAGTCGCTCGCCCCTTTGCTTCGCCAACATATTCTCGTAAAGTTTGCTTATGCTCTTGCTGCTGCTGCTGCAGCCGCTGCTGCTGCTGCTGCTGCTGCTGCAGTGTCTTCACCCACTCTGCTGCTGCTCCTCTTCTAGGAAGCAGAATGGCAGAGTAGGGTTCAGGTCTAGGGTTTCAGGTTAAGGGTTTCTAGGTAAGGGTTTAAGGTTTAGGGTTTCAAGTTCAGGGTTTAGGGTTTCAGGTTTAGGGTTTAGTTTAGGGTTTAGGGTTTAGGCAAATGCAGTAGCTGCGAGTCTTCAAACGATTTGAGGTGTACATACACCCCACACTATAAGCTGCAGCAGCAGCTGCAGCAGCAGCTGCAGCAGCAGCAGCCTTAAGCGTCGGTGCTTTCGTCTCCTGAAGATTCGGAAGAAGACAGCTCAGCAGCGTCTACTTCTCTCGCATCTACTGCAGCAGCTGCTGTTGCTGCTGTTGGTGCTGCTGCTGCTGCCGCTGCTGCTGCTGCTGCT